TGATGGGGATTTGGGGGGGATTTGGGAATTTTGGGGTTTTTTTGGTGCTTTTATGGGGTTTTTTGGGGGGGGTTGGGTTTTTAGGGGGTCTCGGTGGGCTTTTGTGGGATTTTTGCAGGGGAATTTGGGTTTTTTCGGGGTTTTTTGGTGCTTTTAGGTGGGTTTTGGGGTTTTTATGGGGTTTTGGGAGGTTTCTATGGGATTTTGGGGGGTCTTGGGGGGCTTTTGTGGGATTTTTGAGGGGTTTTAGGGGGGATTTGGGGTTTTTGGGTTTTTGTTGTTTTGATGGGGATTTGGGGGGGATTTGGGAATTTTGGGGTTTTTTTGGTGCTTTTATGGGGTTTTTTGGGGGGGGTTGGGTTTTTAGGGGGTCTCGGTGGGCTTTTGTGGGATTTTTGCAGGGGAATTTGGGTTTTTTCGGGTTTTTTTGGTGCTTTTAGGTGGGTTTTGGGGTTTTTATGGGGTTTTGGGAGGTTTCTATGGGGTTTGGGGGGGATTTTGGGGGGTCTCGGGGGGCTTTTGTGGGATTTTTGAGGGGTTTTAGGGGGGATTTGGGGTTTTTGGGTTTTTGTTGTGCTTTTATGGAGTTTTAATGGGGGATTTGGGGTTTTTATGGGGTTTTGGAGGGGATTTTGGGGGGTCGGGGGTTTGGGGTTTTTATGGGGTTTTGGGGGGGATTTTATGAGATTTTTGGGGATGTTTTGGGATATTTATGGGATTTTTTGGTGTTTTGGGGGTTTTTTGGGTTATTGATAGGATTTCTGGGGTGTTTTTAAGGTATTTATGGGATTTTTGAGGTGCTTTTGGGGTATTTATGGAGTTTTTGGGGTGTTTTGGGTTTTTTTGGGATATTTATGGGATTTCTGGGGTGTTTTTGGGATATTTATGGAGTTTTTGGGGTGTTTTGGGTGGTTTTGGGGGTATTTACGGGATTTCTGAGGTGCTTTTGGGGTATTTATGGAGTTTTTGGGGTGTTTTTGGTGTTTTTTGGGATATTTATGGGATTTTTGTGCTCGCCAGGACAACGGTGACCGAGGAGTACCGGGTTCCTGACGGGATGGTCGGCCTCAGTGAGTCTGGGGGGCTTTGGGGGGGATTTTGGGGGGTCCCAGGGGTTTTGGGACCCCCTGGAGAATTTTGGGGACACCCCAAAACCCCAAGTCTGGGAGTTTTGGGGTTTTTGGTGGCAAAAGTTGTTTTTTTTTTGTGGGGTCCCAGGGGTTTTGGGTGACTTTAGGGGGATTTTGGGGGGTCCCAGGGGGGGTTTGGGGGGTCCCAGAGATTTGAGGATTTTGGGGGGTGGTCTCAAGGATTTGGGGGTGCTCTCAAACTTTTGGCTGATTTTGGGGACCCCCCCCAAACCCCATTTTGGGGGAGGGGTTTGTGAGGGATTTGGGGAATTTTTGGGGTTGGTCCCAGAGCTTTGGGGTGATTTTTGGGGGGATTTTGGAGGGTCCCAGGGGGGGTTTGGGGAGTCCCAGAGATTTGAGGATTTTGGGGGGTGGTCTCAAGGATTTGGGGGTGCTCTCAAACTTTTGGCTGATTTTGGGGACCCCCCCAAACCCCATTTTGGGGGGGGGGATTTGGGTGGGGGTCCCATGGATTTGGTGGTCGCAGGGCTTTGAGGTGATTTTTGGGGGCATTTTGGGGGG